ATGGACTTCATCAGCGGTCATATTATTGGTCGTAAAATATGGCATAATCATGTCGTAAGACTTTTTCCCATCCAAGTCCTCCCCTGAGGGTAGTTTTTTAGTCGTCTTAGTGCCTGTATTTTTGCCATTTTTGTAGATGTACGACAAAGGAAGATTGGCAAGACCGCTGGATATGTTACTAGGGACGCAGTACTGGGAGAAGTCGTTCTCTAGATACCTAGGGAAATGATATTGGAGGATTGATCCATAATTATCAAATTATTTATAATATAAGGCAAAACACAATTGAAAATCCTTGTACGTATCTTACTTGAATAAATTATCAAGAGGTTTCCCAACGTAATCCACAAGAAATTCTCTGACTGATTCATTGACCGATTTTTCATGTTTTTGCTCCCATTTCTTTAAATCTTCCGATTTGCTCATTATGTGCTTCAAGAAATTGGGTGAAAGCAGATCTTGAACCGCGCCCTCCTTCAATATTCCTGCATTAAATGGAGACAAAATCTTATTGATAGAGCTTTTGTGTATTTTCAACATCAATAAAATGTCGAAAGATGCCTCGAGGGATCATACCGAGACACCTGCAGAGTTTTTGAACTATTCTGTAAAAAAATAATAAATTGTTGAAGAGTTAGTTCAACTTGAGTGATGTTAATTAATAACAAGCTGTTTCAAGTCTCTTAAGATTTTGTCTAGGGTAAATCAAGGGTAGATAACGTGTTTATTAGCCGTCATCTTTCCATATTTGCACCCGATTATCGAACATGATATCGTTTGAGAATTTAATTGAAGTTTTATCGATTATCGACAATAAATAATATTGGTGTGCACAAATATTTACGTTTTAGGTAATTTACACAAAAGTCAGAAATCAAATTTCAAGCCACAACAAAAGGAAGCACATAAATGAAAAGAGCTCATACCGTTAGTAATTCCTGAAAATAATTGAAGTCAATTGGCTAAATATTTTAAGAGTTATCAAGCGCCAAATTTGTAAGATTTTCTACAGACATTATCATGCTGGGCATAATGCTGGCAACCTTTGAATGTTTTTTTTATAGATTTTGTAGTTTTGAAACGTTGATATCACGAAATGGAAAAAGGCGCTTGCACTAAAATTTTCAGGTTAGCATTATAATGCTAATTAAACATTTCTGTGACTAGAAGCGTCGAGTATCAACCAACTGATTTGCAGTGATTAGTAGGCTTGAGAAAGAGGCTCAAACCTATTCGTATGCATCGCCTTAAGAATGCATGTGTCGTGTTGTTATCACTGCTTTTGCTACTCAAATAACTTTGCTCAATTATCATTATTCTTTGGACCACTTATGTGCACTCAATTACTGCCTCCAACCAATGCCAGTTATAAAGAGAGTTGACTCAAAACATGGTGGACACTAAGCATACCTTCAGGGCCGTTGAGAGCAACTTTAAAGGCTGTCCTCTTGATCGCGTCCAATCCAGCTTTACACTCCTCAACACTGCGTACCATGCCTGCTTTTATGCCGTCTTTCAGGTTTTGKATATAAGAATGATATGTTTGGTTGAAGAGAGCCAGCTTATCCTGTAGAACTTCAAGGTCTTTCACCTCTTTCGGTTGAAAATAGCGCAGTGAAGCGACCTGGCTAGGAACTCCACAAATCGGTTGCCAGCAAAAGAGATTCGGTCCCATCATATAGTCACCGGCGTAGTAATTGCCATCGTAAGGTACAGCAAAGTTGAACTGYAGATAGTGCTTTATACGAAATAAAGCTTTCTTTTCTCTGGGTTTCAGCTTGTTGGTGTTAATTGTCAAATCTTTGACTTCATCCAATAATTCCTTTGCAGTATCTGTGCGTTTCTTGAGATTTTTCCATGAAGAATCAAATGGCTTGAAGACTCGCTTAATTTCATCTACTGTAACGTTGGGCTTGTACACTATTGCTTCAGGGAAGACCTCAAAGTCTGAGTCCTGGACTTTCTGAAGGAATTTAGCGAAACCAGAACTGAGTGCCTCGTTGGAGAATTTATATCGATCGCTAGCCTCTTTGCTTCCTGAGCTGGTATCCTTATCGGTGGATTTGACTATTAAAACAATTCCTACAATGAGGACAATGATGGCTATTAAGCAGACACCGGCCACTATATAGGTCGTTCGCTTTTCTTTCTTCATGATTGCAATGAACTCTGTGCTAGTTACGGAACCTCATGTGCACTTCTGTCGCAAGTGTAACTAAAACATAGTCTGCGTAGCGGCACCAAGGGATTCCAAGAGGTCCCGCTACGCAGGGCAAGTAAAACATAGTTGACGGATCTAAATTAATGTGCAACCACCGTGCAAGATTTCTATGTCTTATATCAGGAACGGGACTTAAGGAACTGCTGGTTTCACCCGTTCAATGATCGGAACTGCCAAAACAATTATCGAATTCATTGAAACAAAATTAAGAAACTGATTCCAAATTAATGAAAAATTAATTCATAGTTTACTTATACTGTGATTCGCATGACCTAATACTCCAGTTTCGAATTCTCCAATGCTCTGTGTTAGCCTCATTTGTGCGCAAATTATTCCTTATTGTGAGCGTAAAAGTGTGAGATTTCAAATCAGATTTATTGTCTTTCTTCACAAATTCCATGCGTTTTTTCGAGCTATCAATGAAACAAAAGAATATTTTACTTGGTTTTGAGGCTAACACAGAGCAAACCAGAACTCGAAATTGGAGTATTAGTAATTGACAATTTTCAATGAAAAATGATGCTGCCGAATACAAGTGATCTCAAGAAAACTGTGGTAATTTCTTAACAAATCTTTCCGACTTCTGTCGTGTGGGTATTTTATTTTCCCTTGTCTTAGCGCCTTTCTGTTCCCATCTGGCAACTAGTCAAGACATAATTATACGACCAAGTAATTAATAGGTTATTTCCTATTTACCTATAAAATGCCTGAAACTACGATCTATGTGCGCTTTCCATTTGTCAGAACTGGCTGGCCAGACCCAGAGAAAATGTCATTATATATCATTCCCATTTAGTTAAGAAATTCAAATTTTCAAATTCTATCCATTATTCTACAGAAAATCTCGAAATGACTGAAAAATGTTGACAAAAAGCATTATATTCCTCTAAATAGAGTGGACTGGCCGGCCGGTTCTGCCTAAATGGAAAGCACCCTATGAAAATAGGTCAACTCATATATAATGGTCTGGTACGTAGCGCTCGGGAGGGTAGCCACCCCATTCTGTATCATCGAAGATTTCTGATGCAGTAGTCTTGTCGTCGTTACCAACAGGATAGAGTACATCATGACAGYCGTCTCCYTTACCGTHGTTCAACGTACACTCCACGTACCTCGAAATACTCTCATCCAAATAACTAAGAGGAGCTGACCCTTGTGAGAGCAGGTAGAAGTGGAAATCYYTCAGATTGAATTTCTTGCCCAGTTTCTTCGTGGCGTATTCCCTTAGCTTTATTATATGGAGTTGGCCGACCATGTAGGCTGTAGCTTGACCTGGATCGCTTTGGTAGCGAGTTACTTCTTTCAATGCGCCCTCTGAGGTATCCCAGGCAAAGTCTGCGAAGAATTTTAAAGCTTTTTCTCTAGAGAAGCCTTTGCTGTGAAGACCTGTGTCTACGATAAGACGGAGAGCTCTCCACACCTACGAGAATGAGAGAGAACGAGGTGAGATTTGAAGATTTGAAGATGAGATTAGTTTTTCGCACATCATTTGCAAAATGACCACACCTATGACTGAGCATACCATACATGTGCAAGGAAGCGATAACTGGGTGACTCTGTCATGCATCCACATACAAAATGATTGAGCATAGTAGAGCAGAGCAAAAACAAAAAGAAACAGAACTGAGCTCCCCTAAAGGCGACATATTTCAGTAACGAGAAGTTATCCACATACTCACCTGCCATTTTAACATGCCATATTTCGAAAACGGTCGACCATCATATGCGTCAGTTTCTTTAGCAATCAGTGGATTTTCTGCATACAAAGCCCATCCTTCAGTGAAAGCGGTGTAATACGTTACAGAATCCAACCATTTTGGGACGCCACCGCATGGATCCATGAAATGTTCTACTAACCCTTGCACCTTGGAAAGAAAACTATTCAGCACGCCTCAAAAGCTCAGGGTTTTCATTTTTTTTTGGGGGGGGGGGGGGGGGGGGACAGGGAATTGGACCACACCAAAAAAATGAATGGTTTTCGAAAGATGCCCAAGAGAGCTAATGAAAGTTTGTGAAGTTGGTAATTTGTTTTTAGAGATATCATTAATTGATTTTTTGTGACCGGACTCACATGAAATTAGGGAGTTTTCATGAAGGTACCACTTGGATAGTTTGAATTACCTGAGTATGGTGACCAGGTCTTGCCTCGTGCGCATTTACACTCATCTCTTCGTATTTAGGCCCAGGTCGAGCATTGAAGAATGGTATATTATAGTAGGCAGGCCGTGAACATTTGTTGCCGCTCGCTGAGAAACTCTTGTATCCACTGGATGGGTTGAAGTCTGGGCGCATTTGAACTGGACAGTTGGGCGTCGTGTGCTTATAACCATTGAATTGGAACATATTCACAGTTTTGGGGTCCAACATGCTCATAATCTAAAACCAAAAGAAAACTCAGCATAATATAAAATTTAGCGGTGAGGCTTTCTGAAGGTTATTGATTCTTTTTGAGGTGCGGAGTAAGGTGGAAGCGAAACCTACCTCGTTTGCATCTGTAAACCATCGTTGCATCGCGGCCCAACGCTTAGGACAATATTTTTTGGCACCTTCGATGCTGCTGCAATTGTTATGTGCTTCTGTATTGCTTTCGTTTGCAGGTATGTAATCAGCATAGTGCATATCTGAATCGTTGAGCCTTTTGATAAACAGCTCTTTAGCCGTGTCGTTGTTAGTTACGTTGTTGACATTACGTGCTATTTCAAGAACCT